CTTTGTGTTATACATACATTTATATTTTTAATAAAAATTTAGTAGCTTACGTGAAATGAAAAAGAATAAGTTTTCAATAAGTTTGAATAAGTTTTTAATAAAACACGTTTTCACTCAACACAGAATTTTCTAGGGACCTATCCACCATGTTAGACGAGCGTCTCTTGTAGTTTAAGATAAGATAAAATATTATTAGCAAGAAAACTGTGAAGGAATTGCAACGGTGCATCGTTACAATTTTCGTACTTCCACAGGTTTGCAAAAGTTTTTTACAAAAATTCTCTCGAATACATTCGAATATACACCTCAAGGGACCAAGTTTAACTGGTCTAATTTATAGCAAGTGCTCTGTCGTCGAACAAAATTTTAATCTATTAGATTGTGAAAAAAGAAAAGGCTGATCTCATCAACGAATGAAATGCATTTCCCTGCGGTTTCCCCTGTCAATACAACAATTCACCGTTATTATATAATTACTGCTGTAGCTAGGATGTGGAATATACACAGAAATCGAAGACGATTACAATTACGATTACAATTACAATTACAAGCGAGCGTTATCGTTTAGAATGTCGGCATGTTTAGAGTTATAAATCAAAACAGACTTAACTGGTTGTTCACATATCGGATATACAATTCCAGACAAAAATTGAAAAACACCTTTTAAAGCACAATAACTTTTTTGAAACTGAGCTACATAATTTGAATTTTTTTAGATGATAAAGGGACTAGTCTACTAGACCATGACTAAAATACTTTTTTTTCAATTTTACTATTACTTGGAATAACAAAAGAAAATAAAACGCCAGTGTTGTGCTACAACAAGTAACACGACTACTACGGCTGCTCAACAATGACATTATCATTGTAGCGTTACTATAAAATCGCTAATTATATTATTATTATTATACTATTATTATCATATTAATATGTTATAATATTATTGTCAGTAAAAATTGCCAAATTTCAGCCAGTGCATCGAAAGATCTAATCATCCAGTGCAACCAAAACGAATGTAAACGAAATTGTATATAAAAAATGTTCACCGTTCGATTATAAATTGTAAAAATATTCGTGTAAGGAACGACAGGTAACGAATACAAAGAGAAATACAGTAACTACTCCCAGAAATGTTCGAAGTTCGGAATTGAAAATGGCAGATCTGAGAATACTAAGTTGCAATTCTTTGGGCCTCGCGGCTCCTTTTTATATAATCTCGGGACAGCCGGCAAGAAAAGGCAGCGGTCAGCATACCAGTGCACATTAGTATGAATATATAGTAATGCCAGAAGAAAAACGATGATTTAACNGATACCAGTGCACATTCGTATGAATACATAGTAATGCCAGAAGAAAAACGATGATAGAACTTTTTGATTTCTAATTTCTTGCCACGATTCGATAGCAATACAGAGACCATATGACATGATTCGAAGGCAATTCGTTTGCAATGTGGAAATTCTGACACAGGCAATACAATTGGGTTGCTAAAACACGTCAAGACCAATGAGATGAAGAAAAGATGTTTTTTAAATGAATAAGGAAATATTAAACAACTATATAAAATAGTCTAACTGACATGTAAAAAAATTCTTCTCGCAGAATAGCTTGAAATTCGTTGCAATTAATACGAATGTTTCTAATTTAGTTGCAAGCAACCTATTACAGGCTTTTTGATAATTGTGCTGTATGTAAAGGAAGTTCAATCATTTCCTTTTAAATTATAATTTCAAACATTGTATGATATTAATTAAAATATTTTATTGACGTATACATATGTATCAAGTTGCTGGCGCTTCCGACACATCATTAAAGAGATTTCCATCTATCGATCTTCGATTTCAAAAGATTCCAATCTTAAATCATGAAATTTCAATGTTACCAAAAATTAATCTCGAAATAAAAATACTTCATACTAAGTAAAGACCTAGCACTTAGGATATTTAGAACTATCCTCGATCAAATCTGTATTATTCTTTGTCAACTTGCATTAACTAACTAATTGTAAATCAGAATACATTTTCGATTTTTCTTCCTTTTCAAAATTCACCGTGTTATAAACTAAATCAATTCCCTTTGAACCTCGATCGCCACCAATTATGTAATTGAAATTGGTTCAAATTGTCCTAAGCATCATCGTAGAAAAATTCGTTATAACAATGAATTCTGTGACACGAAAATCACTTCCAAATACCGACAGGTCTACGTAAAAGAATGTAGCCATCTTTACATGACAGTTTAATTTATTTTCAATCCTTTATTATGTCAGGAACAAATTTTATTAATTGAAACAGAATATTACGTCTTAAACTGTGGGATAGCTTGCAAACAATAAGTTTATCACTAATCAGATTATTTTCTTGATAGAATAATATATCGATTTCTTCATTATTTGAAATAGATGGAGTTATTTGCGATTAACAAATTGCTATTAACAAAATATCTTCTTAAAATATTATAATAATTGATTACCTTCACCCATAATATGAGATTATTTATTAGAATGCAATTTATTAAAATCAAATAATAGAACGTCTTTTTAAATATTGAATCAAGATATCACTTTATCATTTGAGCTTTGACCATGTGTAATTGAAAACAGTATAGACAATTTCTTCGAGAAATCACAATTTCTTTAGCGTCATCAAGATTTTCTTTAGCATCAAGATTTTCCATTTCGACAATTCGACACGGTTAAGCTCAATCTATAATATCTATATGTACTATTTCCAGTCCTCCTTGATCATGTCTGCAGCTTTCTCGGCAATCATAATAACCGGCGCATTCGTGTTTCCAGAGGTAATATTCGGTATAATCGACGCGTCAACCACTCGCAGTCCCTTAATTCCGTGTACTTTAAGTCTGTGATCCACGACGGCCATCTTGTCAGTCGCTGGGCCCATCTTGCAAGTCCCACACGGATGATAGATCGT